CCCACACGCGTGCTACAATTAGTCTGTGAGCGGCCGGGCGTCGAGAGGCAATTTTACACGTTTGTGTTGGCAAGTCCGTTGGAAGCAAGCGTGACATGGACTCCCCAGCCTGGTGTGGCTCCAGACACAGGACACTAGAGCAGCCCAAGTCCAGACCTGGCCCTGCGGCCCCCAGTGGTTCTCCTACTCAGAGAAACATCTGCGCAGACTCAGGGTTAGGAGTCTACGGTCCTCAGCGGCGCCCTGAAAGGAACGACTGTCACACGTATCAAAATACACGACAAGCATCAATGCAGCAGCAGCAACGCTGAAAGAGACATAGCTTGAGGGAGGGAACTGGGGGTTAATCCAAGTTAGGACGGAGCGGGTGCTAGAAGCAGCCACACACAAGGAAGCAGGCGGCGCCGACACGCTCAGCTCTGGTCTATTCGGCGGCCGCTGGGGCGTCCCGATACCTCAGCCTCGTCCAACCGTCCTGGGGACAAAACTAACTAGGAGAGGGTGACCGCAGCCCTCTCTACAGCTCGGCGTGAAGGTGCCTCCTGACCTGTGAGCCAAGGAGGATAATGGGCGGCTGGCAGGCGGCTGGTGGGGCAACCATCCTACCCACCCGGGAGGGGCACCCGGCCCTTCTGCATTTCACAACCGGTGGGGGCCAAGGCTGTCCCACGTCCTGCCCGGATGCCAGAGCCCCTCGCTGAGAAACGCCCACCCCCCAAAAAGAGTGCACTGAGGACAAGCAAGGTCGCTCGGCTCCCTCGTGGCCTGAGAGCTTGCAGAGAGCCCTGCACCTCGGCCTGCAGACCAGGCCTGGCCCTCACCCCAGTACTGACTGCCTCAGCCGTGGCACCGCGGGAGCGTTGCTGACTGTTGCGAGAATCCTCCAGCCCACACCCAGCCACTGTCCAGCCTCATTTCTGCGGACTCTGAGCCTCAGTGCTGTGCACAGTCCTTCAGCTTCGGTTTCACCCAATGTCTGCTAACAAAACGACACCCACCCCCGCCCGACTGCACTACCGCTCTGCTCCGGTTTTCCCAGGAGGGCACATGGCGCGTGTCTGGTCCATGCAAGGGCGGCGGCCTGAGCGAGGCATGCACGTGCCCCCGCCCTCCGCCGCGCATGCACTAGCGGCAGCACCGGAAGTCCAGGGTTAAGGGACCAGCAGAGCTGCCAAGAGAGTGGTTATGGTGAGCGGGCAGAGAACGAACATCACCCAACAACCTCCGGAGACTGACTCCAGCCAGGCCTGCACTGCTGCACGGCGAACGGAGGGAAGGTCGGGCCCTGAATTTGAAACAGACGATAAATACAAAGTTACACAGGAGTAAGCGTTCCCGGCGAGGAGAGCGGAGGTCCTCCTGTGGTCCACACGGAAGAGAGATGGACGACGTTACAGCCCGAGGCCCATCCGGCCCCGACCAGGGGCAAGCGGGGCGTCGGGACAGGGAGAGGAGAGAGAGCACGGGGGGGTCAAGGGGGCGTCCCCGGTCAGCAGGCTCTCTCTCAGCTCCTGCAGAGCTGCTGGGTGTTTACGCGGCCGCAAACGTGGTTAAAGAGGTGGGCCTTGCCTGTGGCGAAGGTGGCTAACTCCCATGAAGGCCGGGCCACCCGCTCTGCGCCCTCGGCACCCTGCAGGCTGTGTCCCCAACAGGCACCGAGTGCAAATGTGGAGACAGGTGAGCAAGAGACAGAGGGCAAAGCACCAAGGCGGGCACGGGAAGGACGCCCCCAACGGCCTTCAGGTTTTCCTTTCCTTCCTTAAAAGAAACCAGAACAAGGTTCATCATCATCCTGCCGTGGGATGCAGAGCACCTCCCCTAAAACCTAGAGCTGGTAACGATGCTCCTTCAGAGGCCTCCTTGATATAAATTTCTTCTTAAAACTTCATTTCAGTCCACATGGTCCCTCGACCCCATCCTGTCCGTGCACACTCACACCGAGACACACCGCATGAGGAAAAGCACAGAACATTCCTCCAAGTGGAGAAGGAAGAACCCTGCCTAGTGACACGGGCAAAGTCAGCAAATTCTTGGTTTTCCCAATGTCAAGTTCACAGTTTCGCATCAGCAGACAACAGCCCACCTCTTACCCACCGAGACTTCACATATCCTCTGATGAGAGCCCAGGGAGCAGACATGCTCCACTGGCTCTTACTTGTGAGGAGCCTGGGGGCCCCGCCCTACAGAAGAGTCCCCAGCAGCCCGAGGGGAAGCGGGACAGAGGTGCCAGGCACCCTGCACCCGGAGGAGTTACCTCTGGAAGGAGGGGACTCAGAGGTTGGTGACACTCGCTCCTCCTGGCTCTCACGGATGTGCGTCCAGTGCACGTCAGCCTGGATCTCCAAGGGATCGGCTGGATTTACGAGCTGCTGCAGCCTTGGGCTCCCAGCTAGTGTACCAGGTTCGAGGGGCAGAGGAGATAAGGAAGGGAGAGATGACGGGAAGGAAGGAAGGAGAAAGTAAACAGGCCAGGGAAGGAAGGATCAAACACCACAGGAGAGGAAACAGAAGGAAAAGTTACCATATTTGCCAGGATCAGTTTGAATCAGAAAGAGGCAAGGATTGAGAATAAGCACACACACACACACGTGCACACGCATGCACACACGCCCGACTTCTACTCGTTCAACTGGATTCAGTCCCTTCAAGCCTCATGCAGCTGTCAGTGTGGATGAAGAGAGTCCTACACTCCCCTCCGATGCAGAAAGTACCTTCCTTTCTGAAGTTCTTTTCATCTTAACTGCGTCTGAGGGACCCAAGTGCCCAGTCAGGAGAAAAGAGCGGGTCACAACTGGCCTCTGCAGGGCCAGCCTCCCAAGGTCCCAAGTATGTGGCTCTGTTGGGCATACAGCCTGTGCCTATGGCCACCTGCCGCGTGGACACAGAGGTGGGGCGGGACAGGGCAATCCTGCCACGAACCCTCCGGCTCACGCGGGGCAGACAGTGAAGCTGTTGGGATTCTAGTTTTTATCTTCTGCAGCTAAAGAGAAAAGCATCCCTTTCTACAATGAGCCTCATGCAGCATGCTGGGCTGAGGCAGGGGTGGGGTCAGGGAAGGCTGCGGTGGGGAGGAAGCAGAGTCTGTCCTGCAGACCCCAGAGCGCTGGGAATTCAGGGGAACAAGAAGTCAATCCCTCTTTGCCCTTTCTGAGGTCAAAGCCCTCTTCCCGAACACGCTACTGGTGCCCCACTGACCCACCCCTGGACATAAGGCTCGGCTTCTTAGCCAGGTGAGAACTCACCAGGGGCCCCGCTGCCCCACCCCTGGACATCATAAGACTCGGCTTCTTAGCCAGGTGAGAACTCACCAGGGGCCCCGCCTTCAGGCTGTCCTTGCTCTCGGGGCCCAAGGAATCTGCATGCGCCCCTGCCCCCAGGGCTCCCATAATCAGTGCTTGGACCATGCCATACACTTGGGTTAAAATAAGGGACAGCCAGCAACTTGGGGGAGGGGACCCTACAGGAGGGAGGGTGGCTTTTCGGGCAGCAAGAGTAGGTACCACCTGATCAGAAGGACTCTCTACGGTCTAACTGGGCAACCTGGCTTTGGCTTCCTCACGAAAACGACAACCTCCTAATCTCCAAGCAACAGGAAACGTGGCGTGGGCAGAACTCACCGCTAAGGCCACCGAACGTGGATGGGGGCTGTGCTGGGCGTGGGGTCGCAGCCCGTGTGCTCTCTTGGGAGCCGCTGGCCTCTAAGGGCTTCCTCTAGGGTTGCGGGGCCTTGGCGGTGCTGGACGGGGCTGAGTCACAGCAGCCACCAGAGAGCCCGACTGTCTTCGGACCAAGACATTAAGTCAAGGAGGAAACACAGGCCCCTTCTCCACCTTCCAGGCAAGCAGGGGAAGACAGCGAGGCTTCTCCCTGGGGCGCGCCTGCGTGTCGCCAGTGCATGCAGCCTTGGGGACTCATCGCCCAGGCACAGGGGAGGGGCTCCGGGCGCCTGTGCTGGCCCCGCCACTTCTGAGAGCTGACTGTGACGTGCAGTGCTCGGCTCATATCAGAGGAGGAGCTGAGTCATAACCGGATGAGGGACTGGCAGCAAACGGTCAAGGGGCACAGGGGCGCCCAGGGGTGGACGCCTCGCCGCCGCTGCAGCTCTAGGAAACCCCGTCTCTCCACAGGGGACCTGCTCTCGGGGGCGGCTGGACGGCTGCCAGGGGCGGGGGTGGAGGTGGGCAGAGGTACCCTCACGTGTACCCATGTCCTCTTCCTCTGGCAGGTGCCCCAGCGGCTGGCCTTGCAGGAGTTCTCTGTCCCGGGGCCAGTACTCTCCTTCCACACCCACAGCAAAGCACCGCATGGGGCAGGCGGGGTGGAGGTGGGCAGAGGGAAGAGTCATCTCCAAGCTCCCCCACTCCAAGCCCGTTCCCGCAGGCTGGAGCCGGACGCTACCTCCACGCCCAGGAGATCAGGTCGCGGGAGGGGAGCAGGGCCAAGGTCTCCTGAAAGGCGGCACCATGCCCCGACCCCTGGCTGTGTCTGGAGCTACAGACAAGCCAAGTGGCCTTCCCTGGGGCGGGCCGTGCACGCGATCCCCACTGACTCACACCGGGGCACTCGGCTCTACAGACACAGCCGGCGGAGGAAGCAGCTCCGGACGCCATAACCCGCTCCTCACATGAGGGCGGGGTGCAGGCCCCACGTGCTGCCTTGGGGTCCCAGCCCAACCCCCGGGTGGGAGGGAGGCCTACAGCAGGACCGGGGCCACGGGGGCTCCAGGAGCCCGAGGAAGGCCCCACCTCTGCCGCCCGACCTCGTCAGGGCCGCCAGCTCGGGGCTCCACTGCCAGCTGAGGACCACGGGTAACGCGCACCCTGCCCTGTCAGCGCCCGGCCCTCGCTGAGCTGGAGCAAACAAGCCCGGGCTGGGACTGGCCGCCGAGCACAGGGAACTCCAGGAGGAACAGAGAGACAAGGCTGCAAGGCGCAGAGCCCTCCAGGGCCAGCCCCATGGCTGGCTAACGGCTCACGTCCTCCTCATCCTGTCCACACCCCACACGGAAAGCACGGCCTGAGCAGACATGAGTTCCCACGGACTCAGGGCTCTGCCTGCCTGGCCCTGCTCACCACTCCAGGCCCGGTGCAGCCGGGACAGGGAGAATGACCCTCCGACAAAGGCCAGAGGAGGAGCCCAGGAAGCTCTTCCTCACCACTCGGGAACACACAGGTGGACGGGGCAGGAACCAACACCGCGAGTGCGAGATAAGAGGCATCTCAGAGCCAGCCCGACCGACCTACCAGGACACGGGTCCCAGCACGTCACCATGCACCACCGGTGACCCCTCCTGGGGGGCCCTCCCTCCTCAATGCTCGGCAGCCTCCGACGCCCAGGACCAGGAGCCAGGGAACCCCCAGAAAGCTAAGTTCCCTTTGTTCCTTTAGCTGGAACAGGACAGGACGAGTGGCCTGACCTGGAGGAGGCCCTCGTCTGCCTCTGTGTGCAGCTCTACCCGGACAGCCCTTCGTGGGTCCCCTGGGGCCTGTGGGAGGCATGCCACGTGACCCCGGCCACAGAAGCCTCCCACACGTGGGCCGGGTCGGGAGGAGAGGCTTTACTCTGACCTTCACTAGATGCGTCCTCCGCGTCCCCCGTGTCCTCCGCGTCCTCCTCGTCCTCCGCGTCCCCCGTGTCCTCCGCGTCCTCCGCGTCCTCCTCGTCCTCCGCGTCCTCCTCGTCCCCCGCGTCCCCCGCGTCCTCCTCCCCAGCCGCGAAGCTCCTGCAGGCCTCGAGCTCCTCTTCACGCCTTCCTTTCAGAAGAGCATGGATCCTCACGGCCTCCTTCCAGGGAACGCCGCCCAGGTCCGAGGGGGGCAGCGGGGGTTCCTCCTCCTCCATCTCGGACTCAGAACTGCTGCAGAAGTGACCACAGAACCCGGTGAGGGGGCCACAGAACGGAGAAGGGGGCGGCTCAAAGCCAGGGGCACAGGCAGAGGCTCCCGGCAAGGCACCCGCCGGGCGGGAAGGGAGGGACGACACCTTGGGGCCAGCGCACAGAGGGTGAATGGAGGGCGAGATGGGTCACACGGGCTGGGGCAGCCCCGCCAAGCACAGGCTCGAAGCTCGTGACCCTGGGGACCGAGGGTGAAGGGCACCTCCGCTCCCGTGGATGCACCGTCTCGTTGGAGGATCCCGGGTGGGAAGAAGGGCCGCCGGCAGGAAGTGGGCTGGCGGAGGTGCTGCTCGCAGGAAAGGGAGCCCTGGGCCCCGCTCCCAAACCCCACAGCGCAGTGTGCAGCGCTGCGGGTGAGGGCGCCTGGACAAGCCCCCACTCTGCGGAGGGGCGCTCGCTGCGCGAAGGCCCCGACACCTGCTCCCGGAGCTAAGAGCGCCCGCCTTGCTCAGAGAGCCTGGCCCAGCCACCCGTGTCTGGGAGGAGACTCTAAGCCCCGGGATGCTCTGCCTGATGGGGAGGCCTGACTCCCTGGGGCCTCCAGTCAGGATGGAGAGTCTAAGAACGTGGTTTGGGGTGAAGGCCTTGGGTCACCAGCGCCAGCCGACCCGGAGACCGGGCTCAACCACATTCCACAGAGAACGTGGACCCCAAGGCTCTGTGGGTGTCGTCACACATTAACACCAGGAGAGTGGCTCTGCCTGAGCCCGCAGGGACGGGAGCCGCCCTTCTCAGACTGGCCTCCGCGCTCCGCTCCGTAACGGAGAAGGGCCGTGAGCACAGCCCCGCCAGTGGGTTCTGTCCTGTAGCCTTTCTAGAAAATTACTGCACCCGAGAGGGGCGCTGGGGACTCCATCACTTTCATCTAGTCAGAAGTGAGGGTGGCCTCCCGGGCTGTGTCCCTCGACCCCTCACTGGGCCGCAGGGCTCTGCCACGACAGCTGCGTGACCACGAGCTGGCTGGTCATGCTCTCCAAGCCTGTGTCCACGCCGGGAAGGGGGTGTGAACACCGGCTTGTAGCGGGTGCCCCTAGTGGAGTGAGACTTTACTGACCGCATCACGCTTGTGCTACACTCCGGTCCTCCAGCCATCCATTCGCTTGTTTACACATTTACACACTCATTCACGCGTGTACTCAGCCGCTGAACTCAGAAAGAAAGAGCGGCTCCTCGCTGCCGGCAGCTCCGTCTGGCGACTCTAATTCACTCATTCATTCAACTACAATTCACTGAGTGTCTCTGCCCACAGTGCCCTTCCTAGACATCACAAAGCTGCCACAGAAAAGATCTTCAGTGTCGGGGAGATAAGATGTGAACACCAGGACTAGACAAGGTGGCCGGTAAATGTAGGGCGGTGGGGGTCTGTACGAGGCAGTTTCAAGTGGGAAGACATAAGAATGTGGACCACAGAAAGCTTGTCCTCTGGAGTTTCATTAGCCCTCAGTGTTTACTTAGCCATGATTTTTGCCTTATCGTTGTGATTTCACTTCTTTACTCTTATTAATTAATGACAACATGTGAGCCCGTGTGTGCCATTTAACATCTTTCAAACGTGAAATCAGGGTAAGAATGCCTCCTGTGCTCAGCTCTAACCTCAGGTCGATCTGCAACACTTCAGGTGGACAGGGAGGCCAGCCTGCCCTTCTTCATGCCAGGCGCACTGGGGCCCCAGCTGTCGGCGGGCAGCTCTCTGGGGGGTGGGCTCAGGGCAGCCCCTCCCCGTGCTGCGTCATGAGGACAGCTTGCGTGACGAGGCCCCACTTGAAGCTGTGACAGCTCGAGGACCACGGAGAATAGGAAGGGAGGCACAGAGCGTAAAAACAGGGCGGAAGGTCAACCATGCTTCTGGAGTGCCACGCGCTTCTAGAGATGGGACACAGGCAAGCCGCCCTGCCTGCCTTGGTGAAAGAGAGAGAGATGGACAGGCACTGCCAGCTGCTCCTCCCCAGGCATCACCGTCCACGGGCCCTCAGAGCAGCCCTCCGCGTCTGGCTAGGCTCCTCACGTCATGTCAGATTCGCAGTGTGAAGTCACTACTCAAGGTTCATCTTATGATATGTTCTCGGGCTGCTCCCAGCACCTGAATCTCTGGGTCTGGCCTTTGAGGGGCAGGAGGATCTGTGTGAGGCACATTCCCTGCCTGGACTACAGCCTGGAACACTTCCAGGGGGCAGAACCCCTACAGCAGAACAAAATACAAGACAACCGACTTCCCTATCCTTTAGGGGGGGAGAGGAGGACCGCAGGACACAGCCTCGCAGGAGACACAGAGCCAGAAAATGTAGTCGTTAAGACTAGCTTTCCACGACAGCAGGGATCTGTTTCCACATTTGTAACTAAATCCTGCCCCATGTGGCTATTTGATCCAGGCAGCCTCCCAGACCACACCCTCTCTTATTGCTTGCCTGGCACTGCCAAGATGGGCAAAAGCAGACGAGGGACGCAACCAGGAAGGCCAGGCAGGCTGCACCCGAGTTCACAGCGTGGGATGTGGTCCCTGTGAAGCCCCTCAGCAAAGCCCATCGGCGGAGTTGACACGTCCCGCTGGAACCACGGAGCAGAAGCCTCCCCGCTGGGTGTGCCCGAATCACTCCTCTCACAGCGCCTTCCCCGAACCACCCCAGGCGCCGTCTTCTCACCGAGCCCACGGTTGGCTGGCAGGAGGACGCAAAGTCAATGGACCAGCTTCTCAAGGGACAAGGTCTGCTCCAGACTTAAAAGAGCCAGCAGAGGAGCAGATCCAGAGAAGAGGACGCGCTTGGAGCACGAGGCACCTCACACGGATCAGCTCCGCTGATCACACAGTAGCTCAAGGGCACAGCCACTATTATCATCCCCGCTCCCACAAATGAAGAAGCCGGGCTTTCAGAGGTGGGATGGTCTGGGTGAGAAGCCAGGAACCCCCAGCGTCCGCCCACATCAGGTCACCCCGTCAAACCCAGGAGGAAGGTCACGACCCGGTTCCTGGCTGCCGCTGCCGACCTGGGAACTCGGGCAGCCGCCGCGGATGGACACCGCCTGAAGCTGCTGGGGGCTTCCCTTTTAAGTTAACCCGCTGGTAATCAGCGCGTCTCCGAGCAATGCCACGTCCTGCGCAGCGGGACAAGGTCCCGCCCACCCTGCCAACCCTGTAAGCACTGAGCCGCTGTGGAGGAGGCCTGCCGGGTCCTGCGATGTGCACGCGGCGTTGACTGCTCCGCGCTCAGGCCGGCACCCTGCGGGTGGAGCGTGAGAAGGGGAGCAGTCAGGCGTGCCTCGCAGGAGGGGCTGTTCCTCACGCTGTCACCCTTTGGGCTGGCCTGTCTCCTGTGACCTTCAGGGAGTCCTCTGCAGCCCTGGCTGCCCGTCTGGGAAGCACACCTGGGCTCCGGCCCTCCCCGACACCGGAAGGAGAAAACGCACGGAAACCAGACCAGCCTTCTCCTGCCCCGGCACCCAGGCTCTCACAGAGAAAATGCAAGTACTGTTTCCAGGGTCCCCTCTGGAAGATGCTCCTTCCCGCCCCTCCAAGGAAGGGTCATGGAGCTGATGAGGCCTCGGCCGAGATTCTCTGCTTGTGTGGAGGAAACCGCGAAGATGATGGGAATCGCCTGGGTATCTGTCAAAACAGGTGTTCCTGGTCTCCACCCCACGCCCACTGAGTGAGACCCTGGCAGGAGCGGGGCCAGGAATTATCCTTCGACCAAGCGTCGCACGTGTCGCATCAGGGACATTTGAGAAATTTAGAGCAGTGGTTCTCACAGTGTGGTCTCCAGACCACAGCACTAGCCGAGAACTTCTGAGACATGCAGAACTTGGGCTCTACCCCAGACGGACTGGGACAGAAACCTCCCAGCTGTCTGTGCTCTCACGAGCCGGCAAAGCTTGGTCACCACTGCCCCAGGGCAAATTCGAGGCAAGCCCGATTTCTGGAACTTAAACCACCTGTTCAAGGAAACCCAAACAGGAATCACCACCTGCCGCTCCTAGTGAGGGCTGCCTGGGCTGTGCTTGGATCCACAGGTAAGACAGTGATCACAGCAACTGCCCACCGGGCGCAGACACTGTGCCCACTACTTTATTTGGTTTAATGCTCAAAGCAAACCTCGGAAGTGCAGTGTCCTTTGCAGATGAGGAAAGGAGGGCAAGAGAGCGTAAGAAACTTGCCCCCAACTAGAAGAAGGTGGAGCTAGGCCTCAAGTCTGGGTTGTCTGCCTGCAAAGTCACGTCCCAACAGCATCCCGCGCTCTGCCCGCACCGCAGGCGCCCGAGGTAAGAGGAGGGTGAATCCCCGCTTGGACCGGTCAGTTCCTGAAAACTCTGTCATCTCTCATCTTCAAGTCCAGTGACTCCCCAAGGAAGGACGGAGGCATCTTACGGCTTCCTTGGGGAAATAAGACAGCTCTGGTGCCGCACTCTTATGAGATCATCGTTACACTTTACATAGCATCCACGCTTAGCGCTTTTTCAAATGGGAACTCGAGTACGATGGGGCATTTACTACACCACTGGGTGCTGACTGGCCTATCCTTCTACCTCACCTGCTGCGAAGGCTGTGACTCAGCCTTCCTGCAAAGCCCAGGCTACATCACCTCCACTTCTGCCCCATAATCCCTCGGTTTACAGATCACAGTGCAGGAAATGTTACTCCTGCAGGACAGGGTCTGCCCACGTCACCGAGCCCAGCCCTCCACTCCGCCCCACCTTGGGAGCGCTGCATCCTGAGGGCGCTGGTTGGGGAGGCTCTGCAAGGGGGGCTGCAGGGGGTCCGCCTGTCCTGACTCCACTCCACCTGCCTGTCCTGTTCTCTTCCAGCCTCTGGGGTCTCCTGCTGAGCCCTGACTTGGGCACTGACCCCACTGACTCAGGCAGGCCTGCGGGTGGCGGGAATGCGTGGACAAGGACAGAGATGAGGGGGCGTGTGGGGCACTTTCCCCAAAGGTGCACGCGGCTCAGCCGGCTGGCACCACGCACTGCGAGGGGCCCTGGGATGCAGGTTTCTGCTCCTTTCCACACACGGGAGAAAGAAAGAAGCCCAGGGAGATGAGACAGCTTCCCCAAGACTGCACAGCGACCCGGTGGCTGAGTCACCCCAGAGCCTCCATGGAACCCACCCCCAGGGGCACGGTCGCCCCCACTCCCGTGGAAGCCCCTCCTCCGACACACCTGTAAACACCAGCCCAGGGCACATTTTTTCTGTTCCTTTTCAATGAAAAGCAGGGTTAAAGTCTTGGTAGGTGCTCAGTAAGTACTGAATCTCTGAATTAAGTCAAACAAACTGGTCCTTTCTGACTAACGAGATGGGGAGCTGGGGCACCAGGCGGCCAGGGAACACGGAGAGCCCTGGACGTGGACCAGAGACCCTGGGCTTGAACCTCAGTCAACCCTCCATCCTGGTCCTGGTCACCATTGCTTTCCTTACCACGAGGGGGCGAGATGCACATCCTATATATCTCACAGGCCCTGGAGGACGACCAGCTGAGGAGTTGGACGCTGGAGCCTGCAGCCGTCGCCTACAAGCGCCTACACGTGCCCAGCTCTGTCCCGAGCACTTTCTACCCCGGCGCCCTCGCACGGCTCTGCAAGAGGTCCTGGTGCTGCCGCCCCTCACACAGACGAGGGGACAGGCAGAGAGGTCACACGACCACCCAGTCACGGGTCACGACGCAAACCCAGGCCATCGGGCTCGGGGCCCTGCTCCCCTGCCCGCCGCAGACGCAGCCCCACAGGCTGACCTGCTGGCCACGTCCTCCTCCGTCCCCGTGTCCAGCACACTGCTCAGGTTGTGCTCGGCCTGCGTCTCCTCGGGCACCTCCTCCAGCCCCTCTGCCTGCTGCACCGACAGGCGGTAGTTCTCCAGCTCAATCCTCTCCGGGGTGCCCCGCAGCCTCTTGGCGATGCTGGGCTCCTCCAGGCCGTTCACGCTCGGGCCTGCACGACAAACAAGAAGCAGAGTTCTGGGATCAGCGACAGGGACGAGGGAAGGAACTTCTCCCTGGAAGGAGGGGCAGCCGTCCCACGAGGCCAGGGAGCCGGACACGGCAGCAGTCAACAAGGTCGGGCCCTGGAGAGCCCAGAGGTCTCTGGTGTGAGGGAGCAGAAGACAAAAGACCCCACATCTGCCCTACAGGGACGAGACAGCCTGGGGAGCAGTGCACACTGGCCGGGGGGCAGGGGCAGGACTGGCCCTCAAGGGAAAGCAGCCTGTTGAGAAGGGAGTCCTCTCCGCTGCCCCACCCCCTTGGTCCAAGACCTGCTGCCCCCTGACAAGGTCCAGGACCCGCTGGCCCCCATAAAATGGTCCAGGGCCCAATGCCCCACCCGCTCGGTTCAGGACCTTATGCTGTAATCCCATGGTCCGGACCTGCTGCCCCACCCAGAATGGTCCAGGACCTGCTGCCCCACCCCATGGTCCAGGACCCAGTCGAGGTTCGGGCACTGCATCTGGCTGGTCTACTGAGGTGTCCAGGTAAGCTGTTCTGCAGAGCTTCTCACACTGTGGGTTTGTCTGTCTCACGTTTAGATTCACGGCAAGACTTTTTGTTCCACGGGAACACCTTGTGCACGACTCTGGGCCCCTCCCACTGCACCCACGCAGGACAGTCAGGCCTCCTTGGTCCTGGTGACACCAGCTGGATGGCTTGGTTGAGCTGGTGCCCACCCACGTCTCTGTGGTAAAGAGACCTTTTCCCCTTTGTAATTAATAAGTAATCTGTGGGGTGATGCGGAGAGACCCTGGACTACCTGTTCCCAGAATACCCATGTCAGGGGGCTAAAGATCCACCCTGCCTGGTCAATTATTGCTCTGGGAGGCCCACGATGGCGGTTTCTAGACTCTATCATTCCTTTGCGAAGAAATCTGAGGACTGGGCTTCCCTGGTGGTGCAGTGGTTAAGAATCGCCTGCCAATGCAGGGAACACAGGTTCGAGCCCTGGTCCAGGAGGATCCCATGTGCCATGGAGCAACTAAGCCCATGCGCCACAACTACTAAGCCTGTGCTCTAGAGCCCGTGAGCCACAACTACTGAGCCCTCATGCCACAACTACTGAAGCTTGTGTGCCTAGAACCCATGCTCCGCAACAAGAGAAGCCACCGCAATGAGAAGCCCGTGCACTGCAACAAAGAGTAGCCCCCACTCGCTGCAACTAGAAAAAGCCAGCACGCAGCAACAAAGGCCCCACGTAGCCAAAAATAAATAAATAAATAAATAGAAAGAAAGAAAGAAAGGAAGGAAGGAAGGAAGAAAAAAGAAAGAAAGAAAAAGGAAGGAAGGAAGGAAGGAAGGAAGGAAGGAAGGAAGGAAGAAAGAAATCTGAGGCCTGCGATGGGCTCGTGGACTCTGAGGTCTCAGGTGTCCGATGCTGCCGTCACGCACCCCTCACCTCCCCCATCTCCATCGTTACCCTTCCTAATACACCTTGTGACCCCAGGTTTGGGCAGAAGAGGCCCACCGACCGCTCTCCTGTGTCCACTGTGACAGGACGTCACATGTGGTGCAGAGTCAGACAGACCCGCTGAGAAAACGGACTCTGCCAGTGACCAGCTGAAGGACCTTAGGAAAATCACACGACCACTGAGAGCTCGCTTCCTGATCCGTGAACAAGGACAATCCCACGTCGCGGGGTTACTACGAGTACAAAGTGAATTACACACGCATGTACGCGCATTTGTGCAGGTGCCATCTCTGTGCCCCGTACACACTGCCTCCCTCTTCTAGGAGTTAGGTGATACAGCTGAGGTCCAGGAACATTTTCACCACCAGTCTGTACAAGTCCATTGCATCCATCTGCCCTGGATTGCAAACGACAGTTACTGGACACAGAAGGCGGGAAGAGGCTCTGAGCAGAGCAAGCAGCACAGGGAAGGGGCCCAGGTGGAGGGACGCAGGCACCGGGGCGGGGCGGGGCACAGGGCCTTGCGTCCCACCAGGGCAGGCACCTGGCTTCGGTGACACTCTCGGCTTTAGGGACCGACACTAGGTTTAGCTGGTGAAGTCATGCCAGCCAGTGTCAGGTGGTCTTAAGGCGAAGCCCAGAAGCCCCCTGATGAAGGGCTGAAGGACGGGGTGGGAACACTGATTTAGTAACTTTTGTGACGTGAGAGGTTGTGCAGAAAACGTCTGGAAGGCTGGCCCTTCTGTCATGCGCATGTTCCGAACCTCCTCGTAAAATCATTAGAAATAACCCTGTGAATTCGGGCAGTCATGGAATAAAGTCTCAGCGCATCTGCTGCAGTGACCAGGATCTCCCACCAAACAGCACCCTTCAAATCACTAGAGATTCTTTCTGAAAAGCAAGACCTGGGGCGTGTTCACTTGCAAATGCAGGTAAACGTATAACCGTGGGGTCTGGGCACGAATCCTGTGCCGTGTGCACACATCTGCCCGTCCCAGTCTTGGTGCCCCGGGAGCCTCATTTTGGACACCCCCGGACTATCCTTCAACACTGAGCTCAGGGCCCCCGAAGTGTAAGCTCTGATGCTGGACGAGGGCGTGTGGAAAATTAGGAAACACGTGGTCTCCAGATGACAGCACGAAAGAGGCAGGGAGCACAGCAGGTGGACACGGTCTGGACAGTCTCCACACCTGCCCCCAGGCCCTCCGAGGGCACAGGCTCTAATCGCGGGGCCAGCCTTTCCAAACACCAGCCTTCCTGGCCTCCTTTCTCCTCATCAAAACCCAGCTTGATAAAGACAAGGCCAAGGGTCCCTGACTACAGTACCACTTGATTCTGTCTTTCCCACCGTGTATTTTTGACAACTGCCCTTAAACGGAAAGGGAAATAAATGGGTGGCAACTACCTGAGAACCAGTTTTGGGGAATTCCATGGATCTGGAATAAAGAGCAGTAGTTCTCTTCGATGGCAGAAGAAAAACAGGAAGAGCTGTCACTTAAGGGAAAACAACTCACATCATCAGTTCAGACTGAGCAATGTCAAGGCAGAGAAGAAACACACTCATGGGAAGAGACCCTTGTAGGAAACGCACAGTGTCTGCCAGGAATCCCACGAGGGCCTGGGGAAACAACACAGGCTAAAATGCTCACTACTCCAAGCGCCGCAGACCAGCCATGGCAAAGAAAGTCCTCACAGGGATGGTTCCAGGCGTGTAGAGGCGTCAGGGCTCGAGCACACACGCGGGACCACGGGAGCATGGAAAAGGGGCGCGTGGCCCACCCAGGGATCCAAGGAGGGCGGTCTGGAGGAACACGAAGGTAGGCGCCAGCTTTAAGGTAGGTAACAGTTTGCAAATGAGATCACCGAGGTTCAGAGACAGTAAGTAAGCTGCCCAAGGTCACACAGCTGGTGAGCAGTGCGGCCAAGACCCGAGTCCCAGGAGCACAGCGTCTGCCCAGAGGCCTGGCGTGCTGCCGCCAGGGCGCATTTCCTGGAGTCCTGCTCTGCCTCCCCCGCAGGGGCGGCTTCACCACAATCTCCCCACTGTGACCTTCACGACGAAGGACAGAGACTCCATGGGAATGTCCTGGAGCAGAGCGTCTGGCATCTGGAATGGCATCCTGCCCTCCACCCAGCGTCAGTTCTCTGGAGTTTCCACAGGCTGCATAGAGCAGGGGATCACCCAACCCCAAGCCCAGAGGCTGGGGCTCTGGGGAGGGGAGATGTTAATCTAATACTGGGCTTGGCCACAAGCAACAAAAACGAAGCCAGAAACACTCAGATCATTCACACATCGGTCCCCACAGAGAGGAGGCTGTGGGCCGTGAAGCCTAGGACATTCCCACTGGAGACGCCGTAAAAGGCGGGAGGGCTGGAGTCGCTCACTGGTCAGGCCCCAGGCCCTCTGGTCTCCACCCACTTTCAGCGACCAGGGAAAGCAGGATGTTCCCTCAGGGCCGGGTCCCCATGGAGGCCGTTTTCCCAAAGGGAAGGTGGCACTCAGAGGGTGCTCGGCAAGTACCCCAAATTCACCAACTGCCAAAAGATGCTTAGCATTCCTGGGCCATAACCTTAAAATGTCATGGGAAATTAAAACAAAGAAACAAAACATCAACAAAATCAGCATCCTTGATTCTCTGTCCTGAGCAAAGGGCCATTTGCCAGACTAAGTGGATGGTGATGATAAATTAAGACACTGAAGAAAGTAATGGTGGAGGCGGCCTTGGCAGTGGTTCTGACACCGTGACAGACAGAGGACCCCCACCTGCTGCCCCCAGGTCCTCGCTGTCTCGTCAGCTTCAGAGGAGCCCAGGAGAGCAGAGGCTGCAGAAGGGCAGTTTGGAAAGTCAGAGTGAACCAGCAGGGTCAGGCCAAGACCCCCGGCCTCTCCACGTCACATGCTTTTGATGCGGCAACAACACAGGGGCTTCCCAGCTGAAAGTGGGATGAGGGATTTGGGATCATTCCTAGGCTGACTGTTCCCTAAGTCCAGGCAAGCAGATCTCAGGTCACTGGAGGCCAATTCCAGCTCCACACACCAAAGGGAAACAGCTCCAGGATCTGGGTGGCACCCTAAATAAGAGAAAGGCTCTGAGCCTGAATGATGGGCCCTGCTCTGGGACAGTCACTGCCTATGTGAGCTCCATATAGCATCCTCAAGGAAATATTTTCCTCATGGGAGAACCTGCTCTCAGCTGATGGACAAGCGCTGCCAAAGCCCTTGGCAACACGCGTGAAATCACCCTGGGGGAGAGGTCGCCCTCCTCACGAGGAGCCCCCGTCCTCAAGGGGCTGCGAGGGGGTCCCTGCTGCAGTTCTGCAGCAACGCATGGCCACCCCGGGACAGGACCGCTGTCCGGACCAGAGACAGCTGCCTCTGTGGGGTGCCGCCTTCGAGAGGGGCCCGGCGGCCCCGCGGGGAAGCAGCAGCCCACTGCCCCCACCTCACTGCCACTCAAGCTGCCGGCTGAGCTGCTGCTCAGCTGTCCGAGGAGCGGGCGGCTGCTCTGCCCGGGACCCCGTCCCCGCTCCCGTCC